GTAATAATGCCAGGTCACTCATGGTTCACAAATCATTAAAGGCTTTTTATTATATAGCCTCCATCGGCCAAACACAGTCAAATACCATCCAGGATCAATTGCAGAAATCCCCCAACTTGCTGTGCAGAGGATCACAGTATGTGTGTGACAGACAGATCCCAAAATGGCCACTGGAACGCACTGCTCGGCGTGCGTTCCACTCACCGGAAGTGACGTTTGACGTTCAAACAACGGACCGGAAGTGACACACTTCCTTTATTATGTGAAATTTGTTGGGTATTATTTTGCGCTGTTTATTATATAAATTTTAATGCTACTACTAGTATAAATTATACCGATGATAATAATACCATCACCCCAAACAATGCTACTACTAGTATAAATTATTCCGATGGTAATAATACCATCACCCCCAACAATGCTACTACTAGTATAAAATTATTCCGATGGTAATAATACCATCACCCCCAACAATGCTACTACTAGTATAAATTATACCGATGATAATAATACCATCAATGCCAACAATGCTACTACTAGTATAAATTATACCGATGATAATAATACCATCAATGCCAACAATGCTACTACTAGTATAAATTATAATGATGATAATAATACCATCACCCCCAACAATGCTACTACTAGTATAAATTATAGCAATAATAATAATGCCATCACCCCCAACAATACTACTACCAGTATAAAAATTATACCAATAATAATAATGCCATCACCCCCAACAATACTACTACTAGTATAAATTATACCAATAATACCATCACCTCCAATACTAGTAGTAGTATTGTACTACTACTAGTATAAATTACACTGATAATAATAATTATAAGAAATAATATAATAATAATATTACAAATATTACCAACAACAATAATATGTATAATAATACCAACAATGCTACTGCTGGTATAAATTATAATGATGATAATAATGATAAGACATAATATAATAATAATAATAATAATAATACCATCACTCCCAACAATGCCACTACTAGTATAAAATTGTACTTATGATAATAATACCATCACCCCCAACAATGCTACTACTAGTATAAATTATACCGATGATAATAATATCATCACCCCTAACAATGCTACTACTAGTATAAATTATACAGATGATAATAATACCATCACCCCCCCCCAATACTAGTAATAGTATTGTACTACTACTAGTATAAATTATATCAATAATAATTATAAGAAATAATAATATTACAAATATTACCAACAGCAATAATATGAATAATAATACCAACACCACCAACAATACTACTACTAGTATAAAAATTATAATGATGATAATAATGATAAGATATAATATAATAATAATACTACTAATATTAATAATATAGTCTAATAATAATAATACAAATATTACCAACAACAACAATAATAATAATACCTTCACCACCAACAAGACAACTACTCCTACTACTAATAATTATAATAGGAATAATAATACTACCACTACCACCCGAAATACTGATAATAATAATAGTCATAATAACAATAGTAACAAAAACAATAATAAAACCACCACTAACAAAAATACTAATAGTAATAATAGTTATAATAAATAATAATTATTACCAACACTAATAATTATAACAATAATAATACAACACCACTATCATCAATAATTATAATAATAATAATAATAATAATACTAATAACAAAAATAAAATCACCACCACCAATAATATTGATATTAATCATAATAACAATATTAATAAAAACAATTGTAAAACCACCACCAACAACAATACTAGTACTAATAATAAGAAGAATACCACCACTACCACCTGTAATAATAATAGTAAGAATAGTAAAACTAATAATACTTATAATAAAATTAATAATACCAACAACGACTATAGTAATAATAGTAATAATAATGATAACAATGACAATAGTAATACTACTACTAATAATCATCATAATAATAATTGTTCCTTTAGGGGCCTCCCTGCTCCTGTTCCTATTTACTTTTCTCCAACAGAGACAGTTATTTTCAATTTAATTGCAATATATATATATATTTAAAGCGGAACTAAACCCTTCAATTGTTCACAGTCAAGTAAGCCACCATCTTGGCCTCTGTTTGATCTGCCGATGCCATGGTGCTGCACATTGATCAGTTATGACACCGAACATTTGATGGCTTGACGGTTTGGTTGAGAGCAAATATGACAGTTATCCGTCCTTGGCCAACTGTCCGAAAGATACAGACAGACATTGCGCAGGACTGTGACCCGGAATAAGAAAACAACTGCTGCAGAAGTGACTGCAGAGCTCAATCTCAGTCATCGCGGGACTTGGTCTTCATGAGAAATGGTCTTCAAGGGACTTGGTCTAAATGGGACTTGGTCTTAATGGGACTTGATCTTCAGGGGACTCTATCTTCATAGGACTTGGTCTTCTGGGACTTGGTCTTCATGGGGTTTGGTCTTCATGGGACTTGGTCTTCACGGGACTTGGTCTTCATGGGACTTGGTTCTCATAGGACTTGGTCTTCATGGGACTCGGTCTTCACGGGACTCGGTCTTCATGGGACTTGATCTTCATGGGACTCGATCTTCATGGGACTCAGTCTTCATGGGACTTGGTCTTCACAGGACTTGGTCTTCATGGGATTTGGTATTCACAGGACTTGATCTTCATGCGACTTGGTCTTTATGGGACTTAGTCTTCACGGGACTTGGTCTTCCCGGGACTTGGTCTTCACGGGACTTGATCTTCACGGGACTTGGTCTTCAAGGGACTCGGTCTTCACGGGACTCGGTCTTCACGGGACTGAGATTGAGTCCTGCAGTCACTTTTACAGCAGTTGTTTTCTTATTCCGGGTCACAACAATTCTGCGCAATGTCCTTTTTGTCTCTTTCGGTCAGGTGACCATGTGGACCGCGCTTATGGTTCAGACGATGTACTTAAGTATTCAGACCCTTTACTCAGTACTTTGTTGACGCACCTTTGGCAGAAATTCCAGCTTCGAGTCTTTCTGGGTATGACACGGCAAGCTTTGCACCCCGGGATTGGGGGATTTTCTGCCATTCTTCTTGGCAAATCCTCTCACATTCACAGAGTTTGTCACTTCCCACATGGAAGAAAAATATATTTAAACTATATTTTAAAAATATTCTTCCTAAATATATTGACATATATTTTAAATGCTATAATTTTGGCCGTATTCAATATATTTCAAAATATATTTCAATAAATATATACATATACTGGTGTATGTTGAAATGCGTTTTCATTACAAAATATATGAAAAATTTTTTTGAAAAATAAATTTCAAATACAGTGTTTGTCTTTAAAAAATACAAACCTACATTTTTGGAATGCATATAAAAAAAAAAAATAAATGTAAAAAATATATGCTAAAATGACTTTTTTATATGTTAAAAAAAATCTGAAGAATATATTTTAAAAAAATTATATTTTTAAAAATGTATATTTAAAAAATATACTCTTCAGATTTTTTTTTTTTAACATATAAAAAAAAGTCATTTTAACATATATTTTTCCATATATTTGTGAATGCATTCCGAAAATGTAGATTTGTATTTTTAAAGACATACAGTATATTTGAAATGTATTTGTAAAAATATTTTTCATATATTTTGTAATAAATACACATTTCAACATACAGTATATATATATATATATATATATATATATATATATATATATATATAATATACTGTATGTTGAAATGCATTTTTATTACAAAATGTATATTTATTGAAATATATTTTGAAATATATTGAATATGGCCAAAATTGTAGCATTCAGGGGCGGACTGACCATTTGGAAACTCGGACACTGCCCGAGGATCAGTAGTGGGCCCCATGAGATGCCCCTGGTACCTTTTTCATAGGCTTTTTTGAGTTTGGGCAAGGACACGGGCCCCATGATCCCCTGTTGCCCGGGGGCCCCATGAGTTGTCAGTTCGCCCCTGGTAGGATTTCAAATATATGTCAATATATTTTGGGAAGAATATTTTTTAAATATATTTCAAATATATTTTTCTTCCATGTGGGTAAGCCACCTCTGTGTTGTCTCGGCTGTGTCATGGAAGGTGAACCTTCAACCCAGTCTGAGGTCTTGAGCGCTGTAGTACAGGTTTTCATCGAGGATATCAGTTTGCTCCATTCAGCTTTCCTTCAACCCTGACCAGGCTCCGGGTCCCATAGTGACAATGTACTACTCTGGGGGGGGATTAAGATTTTTTTTTTGCACACTATGATTGCTTATAACAGTGATGATTGCTGGTATAAGCAATCATTTTTATTAATGGCATCGATTCATAGCCATTGTGTACTATTTGGGATAGTAGTGATTGGCCACAGCTATCACATGGTACAGTGCACAGCGATCAGCCCTTTCTATCACATAGATCAGGATAATACACAATGAATGGCTATAAATGAAAGCCATTAATTGCGTACAACTGTCATGTTATTGTGATGATTGGTCACAAGGATTACATGATACCAGGGTCAGCCCGGTACACCAATCTGTCACAGATCGAGCCACAGGCTTGCTGCCTGGAGGATGGCTGGGCATCATTTAAAAAAGGGGTTTCTACTTACATGCTCTGTTCAATGCACAGAGTGGTCCCTTACCTCTTCTTTAGTAGGCCCCCGCTGGCACTCTCCGCCGCTCCTCTTCTCTGAGTGCCCCCTCAGTGAGCCGGCTGCAGTGGGGGCACTTGTGCAGGTGCGCTCCCGAGTTGGCCTGTATGTGTTCATAGATACACTACCAAATGATCCAGGTACAGGTTCCCCAATATTTGCCCCCCCCCCCCAATATTGCCCCCCCCCCCCCACACACGGCGCTGATAGTTTGTTTCTCTCCCACAGTAGAAGAAGATGGATGCAGAAGTACAGAAGCCCCTCCCACCTTCCACCGACAAGCAGAATGTAATGCCCTAACTGCTAATTAGGAATTTGTTGTCACTTCTCGCGAACATGGACAGTCTGCCGACAGTCGTGGATTTCCTTAGCTCCACCTCTGACGTGGACCACCCGACCGGAGAGGTAGGTTGTGAATGACCAGCTTCCTGCCCTCTGCTTTATTAGTGCGGTCACATGACCACTGTCACATGATTGCACAACAGTCTCTTGGTACGAGGATAGCTGTGATCACAAAGTGAACCCGTGTTCCATATTAATGCTGAGCAAATTCTAGGGGATTGGAGAGCGGAGATATGCTTTCCCAACCCACCGATCCTTCCAGCACAAGTCCGCCCCCACGGATCCTGCACCCCCACCCCCCTCCCCCCCAGTGTCTAGTGGTCTTGTGCAGTGGACTGTTCCTGGTGTCATCACACTCATAGACCTGCTCTGGATGTGAAGACTTCAGGAACAGATCATGGGGGAGCGCTGTTTGCAGGTGGAGTGGAGGATCGGGTGAGAATATAGCTTTCTGGTTGTCCCTTAAAGTGTTACTAAACCCAGGACCCTGCATTCACTATATCTGGTCTCCCCGGACCCTGCATTCACTATATCTGGTCTCCCCGGACCCTGCATTCACTATATCCGGTCTCCCCGGACCCAGCATTTACTATATCCCCTGCTCACTCCCCCCAGACCCTGCATTCACTATATCCGGTCTCCCCAGACCCTGCGTTCACTATATCTGGTCTCCCCGTTTTCCCCGACCCTGCATTCACTATATTCGCTCTCCCCGGACCCTGCATTCACTATATCCGCACTCTCCGGACCCTGCATTCACTATATCCGTTTTCCCCGGACCCTGCATTCACTATATCCGCTCTCCCCTCCCCGGTCCCTGCATTCACTATATCCAGTCTCCCCAGACCCTGCATTCACTATATCTGGTCTACCCAGACCCTATTCACTATATCCGCTCTCCCCGGACCCTGAATTCATTATATCCTCTCTCCCCGGACCCTGCATTCACTATATCTGCTCTCCCCGGACCCTGCATTCACTATATCCGCTCTCCCCAGACCCTGCATTCACTATATCTGCTCTCTCCGTACCCTGCATTCATTATATCCGCTCTCTCCAGACCCTGCATTCATTATCTGGTCTCCCACAGTACAAACAACATGGAAATGCAATTATTTTAGTATCTATAAACTGGTAAATCCCTTTTCTCATCAGCAGTTTGTAGCTGTCTTCTATCAGTGTCCAGCAGAGCACTGGTTAAAGCTTGTAGGAATTTTCTCTAGGAAGATGCAGAACATCTGATCTCTGTCTGAACAGTGCTGATTGGCCCTGTGCTGATCACTCACACTCTCCCAATAAAAAAAAAAAAAAAAAAAAAAAACCTCTCTAGCAATACACACCAAACCGAGCATGTGCAGAGTTTCTCCATACGATATATCTTATCACGAGATAAAAGGGGGACACTGGAAAAAGGGGAGGATCAGAGAAGACAGGATCAAACAGCAGTTTTACACAATGTGGAGAATGAACCCCTTAGGGGTTTACTTCACACCCCTGCAGACGCTTTGCATTGCACTTGGTGATGTAAGGCTTGGATGCAGCTGCTCGGCCATGGAAACCCATTCCATGAAGCTCTCTACGCACTGTTGTTGTGCTAATCTGAAGGCCACACCAAGTTTGGAGGTCTTTAGCTATTGACTCCGCAGACAGTTGGTGACTTCTGCGCACTGTACTCTTCAGCATGCGCTGACCCCGCTCTGTCATGTGACGTGGCCTACCACTTGGTGGCTGAGTTGCTGTTGTTCCCAGTTGCTTCCACTTTGTTATAATCCCACTAACAGTTGAGCGTGAAATATTTAGTAGCCAAGAAATGTCATGGATGGACTTATTGCACAGGTGGCAACCTATCACGGGACCACGCTTGGAGTCACTGAGCTCCTGAGAGCGACCCATTCTTTCACCAATGTTTGTAGAAGCAGTCTGCATGCCTAGGGGCTTGATTGTATACACCTGTGGCCATGGAGGGGACTGGAACACCTGAATCACATGATTGGGAGGGCGCGGGGCCAATACTTTGTGCAATATAGTGTATGTAGTTCACAGACGGGTTAACTCTCCTAACTGATAGATGTCAGCACAGGCAGAGAGAAGTTATCACCTCACAAGATTTTTGGTAGGATCAACTGGTATCTTCGGCCCTTTTCATCCAGGTATAGCGGAATGCTTTCAGCAGTATTTTTAACAGACCAAAAAGAGAAACTCATTGCTAGGGTTTGTTTGTATTAGGGATGCACCGATACCCATTATCAATTGGCGAGTACCAATACTTTCAGTCAAGTACTCGCCGATACCAAGTACCGATACTTTGCAGTGTGATTTGTGTCCAGACAAAAGCAGCATTTCTCAGGGGGACATCTACACTGATCATCAGTGCCCTGATCAGTGTAGCCCCATCCGTGCGGCCAATAGTGCCCATTAGTGCTCATCTGTGTAGGCTTTCAGTGCCCATTAGTGCTGGCTATCAGTGCCTCCTCAGTGATACCTGTCAGTGCCCATCACTGATGCATGTCAGTGCCCATTAGTGTCACCTGTCAGTGCCCATCAGTGTCTCCTATCAATGTCCATCAGTGCCGCCTATCAATGCCCATCAGTGCCGATCAGTGCTGCCTATCCATGCCCATCAGTGCCACCTATTAGTGCCCATCAGTTTCACATATCAGTGCAGTCTCATCAGTTCCCATCAGTGCAGCCTATCAGTGCCCATCAGTGCCACCTATCAGTGCAGCCTCATCAGTGCCCATCGGTGCAGCCTATCAGTGCCCATCAGTGCCTCCTGATCAGTGCCCATCAGTGCAGCCTATCAGTACCCATCAGTGCCCATCAGTGCAGCCTATCAGTGCCTATCAGTGCAGCCTCATCAATATCCAGCAGTGCAGCCCCATCAGTGCCCATCAGTGCATCCTATCAGTGCCCATCAGTGCAGCCTCATCAATACCCATCAGTGCAGCCTCATAGTGCCTATCAGTGCCTCCTCATCAGTGCCCATCTGTGCAGCTTATCAGTACCCTTCAGTGCAGCCTCATCAGTGCAGCCTATCAGTATCCATCAGTGCCTCCTCATCAGTGCCCAGGGGCGGACTGACCATTTGGAAACTCGGGCACTGCCTGAGGGCCCAGGGTCAGTAGGGGGCCCCATGAGATGCCCCTGGTACCTTTTTCATAGGCTTTTTTGAGTTTGGGCAAGGACACAGGGGCCCCATGATCCCCTATTGCCCGGGGGGCCCCATGAGTTGTCAGTCTGCCCCCTTCAGTGCCCATCAGTGCAGCCTATCAGTACCCATCAGTGGAGCCTCATCAGTGCCCATCAGTGTTGCCTATCAGTGCCCATCAGGGCCTCCTCATCAGTGTCCTACAGTGCAGCCTATCAGTACCCTTCAGTGCAGCCTCATCAGTTGCCATCAGTGCAGCCTATCAGTACCCATCAGTGCCTGCTCATCAGTGCCCATCAGTGCAGCCTATCAGTACCCATCAGTGCAGCCTCATCAGTGCCCATCAGTGCTGCCTATCAGTGCCCATCAGTGCAGCCTCATCAGTGCCCATCAGTGCCACCTATCAGTGCCCATCAGTGCAGTTTCATCAGTGCCCATCAGTGCAGCCTATCAGTGCCTCCTCTTCAGTGCCCATCAGTGCAGCCTATCAGTGCCCATCAGTGCCTCCTCATCAGAGGCCATCAGTGCAGCCTATCAGTGCCCATCAGTACAGCCTCATCAGCACACATCAGTGAAGAGGAAAAAAAATCACTTATTTACAAAACGTTATTACAGAAACCAATAAAAGCTTTTCTTTTTTTTCAAAATTTTTGTTTTTTTTATTGTTTGCTTAACAAAAAATAAAAACCCCAGTGGTGACTAAATAGCAACAAAGGAAAGCCTTATTTGTCTCAAAACAATGATAACAATTTAGTTTGGGTACAGTGTCGCACGACCGCGCAATTGTCATTCAAAGTGCGGCAGCGCTGAAAGCTGAAAATTGGCCTGGGCAGTTAGGGGGTAACAGTGCCGAGGGGTAATCTGATTCAGGGAAAAGTGACCGTCTGTTAAAAGCCCAACCCTGACCCAATCTACTCTGTGGGAGCTCTCAGAATATGCCAGGTATAGGGGAAGGTGGTATGTGATCTCCTCCCAGGATGCAATGCTCAGAGGCAAGGGCCAATTGCCAGGTCCTTATGTTGTCACATCCTGTGCAAGTTCCAGTGCCTCTTGACATGGAGGGGTCATGTTGCCCCCAGCTCCAACAGAGGAAGGAATGGCAATGGGGGCATGGCAGAACTGCCAATTAAGAGACTGTCACTTTGCCCTTTAAAGCCTGGCTCTGGCAAAATAAATAATCTGCCCTTGCAGCAGCACTCCCACGGCAGTGCAGGGGTTAAATGCTGCTTTTTTGCCTCGGGTACCATTGCAAAGAATTTTTATTGACCTTATCTCTCACTTCTGCAGGCGTCTCCTCTGCATGCAACCGACAGACAGCGCTCTGTCTGTCAGTCCCACTCTGATGACGTCATCAGATACAAAGCAGGACCAGCAGGCCTGCCTTGTACGAGAGGATACCGAGGCTCCGCCCACATTTCAGAACATTGGGAGGAAAGAGGAGCGCACTGATTGCCAGGGGAGCAAGGGGTCAGGTAAGTAAAGCTGTTTCATAACGGTACCCTAGGCAGAAAATGAACATTTAACCCTTGCCCTGTAGGGGGATTCCCCCTCAAAGGGTAGGTTTTTTGAATGTATCCGAAATTCATCTTTAATGGACAAAATGACAGCCAAAAAATGGTATTTTCTAGTTTTGAGTAGAGGAAGAAAGGATTTATTATTATTATTATTATTATTATTATTATTATACAGGATTTATATTATTAATATTATTAATATACAGGATTTATATTATTATTATACAGGATTTATATTATTATTATCATTATACAGGATTTATATTATTATTATTATTATTATACAGGATTTATATTATCGTTATACAGGATTTATTATTTTTATTATTATTATTATTCAAGATTTATATTATTATTATCATTATACAGGATTTATATTATTATTATACAGGATTTATATA